TTTCCTACCGTAAATATATCCAAACTTAATTTTTGATTAGTAATATGCATTGCTAAGGACTTCATTTGGACAACTGTAAAGGTGATTTTCTCCAGATTTTCAAATAGTTGTATCTCGGCCAAATATTGTCCTATCCTAACAAACCATACATCAACGGAAAGCTTATTTATTCAGCTGTATAGATGATGTATGAATCTCAATTTCGAAAAAAATATTGACCCTTATGACTGGTTTTGTGATCCAGGGTTACATATCTGACCTGAAGTGGGATGTGCCTCAACATACTATTTAATTATAATTACAATTATTAATCTAACAAACATTTAACTCACAAGCCAATGCTGACAAAACATACCAAGTAAGTAAAAGATTTAGTGTTCTTAACGACCAACAAGCACATGACAAATAACTGAACACAAAAACAGCTCACAACATTCAGTTCTCAGAAACTGGCATCATTTATTCAGCATCATTACCATTTTAATTCAGACTCCTGTACTTTATGACATCCTGTTCATCCAGTAACACTTTACAATAGTGTTCAATACAGTTAGCTAACATGAACTATACACTAACAATACCGTTACAGCAGGGGGTGCCCAAACTCGGTCCTGGAGGGCCGGTGTCCTGCAGAGTTTAGCTCCAACCCCAATTAAACACACCTGAACCAGCTAATCAAGCTCTTATAGGCATACTAGAAACTTACCAGCAGGTGTGTTGAGGCAATAAAAATCGACGCGTTTCAAAAAGGCGGGGCATAGAGGAGAAACAATAATGTACAGTATGTGGAAAATAATGTGTTTTTTTTACTTTAAACCGCATAAACACATTTCATTACACCAAATACACAAAATAATGTTCTTTTTAGCAGCATCATATGACCCCTTTAACATTGTTTTGTGAATTAACATCAAACTAGATACATAAATGCTGTAAAAAAAATTGTTGTGATACCATAAGGCATTAACTAATGTTAACATATTGAATATTTTTGTAAAGTATTATCAAAAATCTGATAATATTACACATACATTTTTAAAGAGGTTGCTCCTCAAATAAAAAGTGAACATTGCAGACAACGTCTCAGTCCCTCAGCACCCTACACCTAAACCCTCAAGATGACTGAATTTAAAATATATCATCAATCCTTACTTAAAAACCATTTGGGTGAAACAAACACAAACTATTTGCAATACAATGAGCAATATGAAAGAAATAGATGAACACTGCATTGTGTGTAATGTAAATGTAATGTGATAAAAATGAATTCCAGCCACTCTTCGTAAAACTTCCCTACAGTGAAAAAAAAACCCAGGTGAAGAAAGGCCTTTTGAGTAAAAATGGAAGAGGGATGTAATGATGATCAATGGTGCATTACTGCCACCTGCCAGACTCTCGGATACTTACATTGATTACCTCTTTTCTTTTCATGCTCAGAAGGGAAAGTTCACTCAAAAATGAATATTCAGTCATTATTTACTCACCCTCATGTTATTCAGAAATTGTATGATGTTGTATGATGTATAATGTTCCTTTCTTCTATGGAATATCCAGTCCAGTCAATGGGTTTGTTGGAAGTCAATGGGTTCCAGTGCCTTTTGTGTCCTAACGTCCTCCAAAGCATTTGTGTGTGTGTGTGTGTGTAAATCCTAAAAGTAAATCCTACAGGTTTGTATAGAAACTTATTTCAGCCACAGAATATATATATATATATATATATATATATATATAGTCTAAAGGTATTTCAGCCACAGAATATATATATATATATATATATATATATAGTCTAAAGGTGTCATGTCAGGTGTAAAAATTCCATAAAAAAGTCAGAAAAAAATCTGAATTCTGAGAGGAAAAGTCAGAATTCCGAGATGTAAAATCAGAACTTTTGGGAAAAAAATCTGAACTTTAAATTGTGAGGGGAAAAAAAAAATGAAACTGTGAGATATAAACTCGTAACTGTGAGAAAATAGTTGCAATTTCATTTTTTATATTTTATTCCGTGGTGGACATGAGCTTCCATATAGGATTAGATCGACATGAAGATAAGTAAGTGATAGAATTGTCATTTCTGGCCGGACTTGTCCCTTTAAACACACAAGTGATTCTCCAGTGCATCCTAGCAAAGTGCACGAAAACAATATGGTAGCTAAAGGCAGCAAGTGCAGGAGAACCCCAGACAAACACTCAGTTACACAATCTGCATAAATAATTGTTGTTGTGATGTGTGGCTCTGTGTTTGCGGAATAAAAACAGAACAGTGGCTTGTCAGTGCGTCAATGAGAGAAGAAGCTCACTGATCACTGTGAAGACCACTAGAGTCCAACTGCCTCTGATCCTTTCAGACAAGCTGGTGGGATGCAGGCACGAGCTTTCATTTTTAAACACCCAACATGCTTCCTTACACATCCATCGTGAGCACAAATGCACAGTGTATCCCATAGTTCCTTGAGGGCAGGCAGTCTTGATGTAATGTAAGATGTAAAGTTCACAGCTTATATCCATAACCATTCTGCGCCCGTACAGGTTTAATGCTGCTTAAATTCAAGGCATGTCTTTGAGCAACAATGGCCTAGAGCACTGTCTCCAAAAAACACAAATCACAGCACAAAAAAACAAAAAAATCCCTGTAACCCCTTTGCAGCAACAAGCATTAAAGAAATGTGGAACGATATAAAGCCTCAAATCATCATCCATTTTCACAGGCGGGTGTCCCTGCGCTCCATTGACTGTTGACAGATCCCACCCAGAGTGTTGAACTTGGGCCCGAGGTTCTGCAGGAAGTCCAGGTTATCACCGAGGTTGCTAACAGTCAGCTGATCCAGTGACTGGCAGTCACTACCCCTCCCCTCATATTCATACTGATACGAAGAATAAGCTGGAAAGTCCCTCTGCTCTTCCGAAAGCCCACTGATTTTCTATGGAATAACATAATGGAAAGAGAAATATCATAGTCTTAATGCTTATGCGGATACAGTGTGAATGTTTTTTCCTAGCAGCACTATCTGATGATTCCACCTTGTGGTGTCTGCATGGTCTGCAGATCTTTGTACATTAATATTATGTTATGCTATGAGGGATCTGACAGATAGGTGGCGCCAGTGCATTGAATTTTCAACTAAGAACGAACTAAAGCAAGGTCGCCTTTCCGCCAATAGTGTCAAAGGAAAATCATGCAGTGCAAGTTTTTGTTTTCATATTAAACAAAGCTTTGTTTATTGACATTAACCTTTAAAAGCATATTAAAAAAAAAAAAAAAAAAGTAAGAAGAAAAAAAAAAAGAAAAAATAAGAAAAAGTTTATAATATAAAACAAGTATATTTTTGAAAATCTGTACTTGCAGATAATGTAATATTAATCAAATAAAAGGCTGCTTAGGTGAGAAAGACACTTCCGTGACCACACTTAAGTACACTTTTAAGTTTAAAGTTTAAAAAAGTACATTTTAAATCATTGTTTCAATAATCTTTTGTCATACTTTAAATAAGTATATATAAATACGTTAAATACACTAAAAGCATTATTTAATATACATAAAATGTATATTTAATATTTTTTAAAAATCTTAAATTGACATTAACTGCACTTTTGTATAGTATGTCCATGCATATATTTATATAAGTATAAATTATACCTGAAAATTAGAAAATTATTATTATAATAGTTGTCTCTCTCTCTCTCTCATATTTACTCCGGGTTTCTTTCAAATCATGCCAGTCAGGTGTTTTGTGTATTGACTCACCCTGTCAATGTGTTCTGCCAGGTTCCTTTCTGTTCGAGCCATGCTGTGTGTGCGGGACATCTGGCGGCTTTCATTCTTA